TTCAAAGGCTTTTGAATTGTATTCTCCACCACGATCAGTTCGAAGAACCTTGATCGTCTTCTCTATCTCATTCTCAGCAGCTGCCTTAAAATGTTTGAATGCATTTAAGGCTTCTGATTTCTCCTGTAAGAAATAAACCCATGTTTTTCTGCTGTAATCATCAATGAACGTTATAAAGTACCTTTTTCCGGCGTTGGAAGCTGGAGTTATTGGCCCACAAATATCTGAATGGACCAGCGCAAGAGGTCTTCTAGCCCGCCATGCTTTTCCCTTCGGAAAGGTTTCCCTATGTTGTTTTCCAGCAACACAAACTTCACAAACTTCACTTGGACAGGTTATTTGAGGAAGGCCAGTCACCATCTCCTTATCATGTAGCGTCTTTAAACCTCTAAAATTCAGATGACCATAGCGTAAATGCCACAGCCACGCTGGATCATTGACCTTGGCAGAGAAACATGTAGGACCATCACTTTGAATATGTAATGGAAACATTCGATTTGTCGTCATGTAAGCCTTAGCAATTAAGCCCCTCTTTTGATCATGAATCTGACAAGCTCCTCTTGTAATCTTGATCTCATATCCCTTTTCATGCAGTTGTCCCAAGCTCAGCAAATTGCTCTTCAAACTCGGAACAAAGAAAACACTAGAGATAGTATGGACAGTATTATCTTTAGCCCAAATTTTGATATCTCCTTTTCCCAAAACAGAAACTTTGCTGTCATCTCCAAATCTCACTGTAGTTGTGAAACTTTCATCTAAGGTAGAGAAAATTGACTTTTCTCCACACATGTGATTATTGCAACCTGTATCCAAGTACCACACATTCTTTTGTGGTTTTTCCATGGTTTGACACACCATTAGAATAGCCCAGTCAGCTTCTTTCTCTTTCTCTGCAAAATTCGCCCTTGCACCCTTTGCTTTATTCATATTTGTGTAACATTCAGATCTGTAATGACCATAATTGCCACACCTGAAACACTCGACATTTGATTTGTCGACATTTGAATCATGATTGCTTGAATGCCTTCGGCCTCTGCTGCTGTTGCCTCCAGAATTATAATAGCCTCTACTGCTACTGCTGGAATCATGAGTGTCTTTGCTGCCGGAATCATCATTGAATTTGTTCCCATCTCTGCTACCTCGACCTCTTCCATGGCTGCCTCCTCTACCACGTCCTCGACCACTACCACCACGACCTCTTGCTGCCGGAGAATCACTATTTGTTGAAACTTTCAAGGCATGTTCCTCAGATGTACTCCGATTGATCTTCTGCTCATGTACAAGCAAGGAACTCTGCAGCTCATCAATTGAAAGCTGCTCAACATCGTTTGACTCCTCAATGGAGCACACAACGTAATCAAACTTTGTAGTCATAGATCGCAGGACCTTTTCTACGATGGTCACGTCTTCCATCTTCTCGCCATGGATACTCATCTTGTTTGCAATTGCCATTGCTTTTGAAAAATAATCATTGACAGACTCTCCTTGTTTCATCTGAAGAGTCTCAAAATCTTTCCTCAGTGCTTGCAGCATTGAACGCTTCACCTTTGTTGAGCCTTGGTACTTCTTCTTCATGGAATCCCAAATTTGCTTGGAAGTATCTTTTTGGAGAATGGTCTCCAAAATGGAACGATCAATAGTTTGGAATAAGTAATTTTTCGCCTTCAAATCTTTCAGCTTGGATTCATCCAATTTTTTTTGTTGTATCTCTGTCAACACCACTCCATTTTCTAGCTCTACTATACCGATTTACACGAGAGTCCAGTATTCTTTAGACCTCGGGAAATTCTCCATCAACATGCTCCAATGATCGTAATGACCATCAAAGCGTGGTATGGCTGGCTGCACATAGTTGTCTGTAACCTTGTCAGACGCCATAGAAACTTACTGCTGTAAGTGCAATAATAGCTTACTGCTTTTGTGGGAACTTTTACGTCAGGCCCCAGTGGGAAGCTCTGATACCAGATGTAGAGTTAAACTCAAAATCTAAACACAGGTGAGAAGAGGTGCTGGAAAGCGTAATTTGTATATTGATAAAGTTGAACTTAAATAGAACGTTACATCATCAGACTATGCTAAATTCAAGGACATGACTCCTACTAACTTAATCTATTACTGACACTACTAACAAACTGCTCCACTACTGGGAGACTCCTAAAGACTTGGTAAACATAACAACGTGCAACATGACTTCCTACATAATAGGATAATCAGTTTATTTAATTAAAACAACTGCTGTAACTAGATAAAATCTTAATAGGAAAAGATTAGAAACACATAGTTTCAACTTTGATAATTAGAGAAAAAACCAAAAGAAATAAACTACATGGAAGAGAAAAATAGAGAAAACCTGAAACTGCCGTGAGAAAGAATCTCTCTGTGCTCTTCACCCTCTAGCCAATATCTGTTGGCGTCTGCCTTTTCAACATTTTTTTTTCTAGTGTATGTTTCTTAAGGAGTCCTTAATTGCTTACATTTATAATTGCATACATCTATCATCTATATATATAAAGCAAAAGGCAGAGAATGGTGAAACATTCAAAATACCAAAAAATGCCCTTGGTTAATGCAAACATTAAGAATTGAAATTATTAATTAAATGAGGATAATATGGTAAATTCACACTTTTTCATATTAAATTTTTTTTAAATTAAAAGAAAAATCAGATAATGGATCCTCTTTTTATGGAACACAACTACCCATTATCTTTTTTAATTCTAAAATAACTTTTTTTAAATAAAAAAAAGGCCTCTGGCAAGCGCGGAAGCGCATGCATAGAGTCTAGTTTATATATAATTCCCGTATTCTTATGCAACTATAATTCCTATATTCTGAGCAAATTATTTGCTATTTAGATTTCACAAACGTTTTAACCTATTAGACCCGGCCCATAGTGTTTGGGCTTTTCTCCTCATTTTTAATAAATCTGATTCACCGCAAGTGCCGAGAACCTAGAAGTTTCTAAAGTCCAAATTGAATAGATGTGACAAAATTGAAATACTAAACACCTTTGTCCTAGAGAGAGTTGACATGGACTATTAGATTATTCACGTTAATTCCCTATTGGTTCCTTCCCAATTCTCTATTGTTACATTACATGTACTTCCCACAATGCTTAAATATTGTGGATTTTAGCAGAATACATTTTTGTTTTGGCAAGTGGATGTTATATCAGGTTAGTTTAATCTAAAACGCTTCTCAATTTTCTGTGAAATTCACATGTGGAGAGTAATTTGATTAGATATTTATCTCTAAAACATTTGTTCATCTCCACACGGTTCAGAATCTAATCTATATCCCTTTCTTTTGGCAAAGACAAATGCAAAGCCGTTTATTGATATGTGATGAACTCCCATACATGGATCAAAATGTTGGCACATCAAAACCTACATATCAGGTTCATACACATAAACTTAATTAGTTACTTCCTACGCCTGCCAATTATCGGAATTTTTTTATCATCCATGCTAAAACCAATACCAAAGCCAATGCCAAAGAAGATTCCAAAGATGAGTGCAATAAGAATCGTCTGTGTCTTAGATCTCTGAGTAACTTCAAGTACTTGTGGAGGACTTTGAGGGCTTTGATGGCTTTGATGGCAAGAGCGCTTGGGAGTTGGAGGGCCACATAAGCCTGGATTTCCTTCAAAGCTGGAGATGGTAAAAGTATCAAACTGGCCTCCGGAAGGTATAAGTCCCTGAAGATCATTGTATTCCACACTGAAGGAAGACAGGAAATGCAGACCTTTAAGAGAAGCAGGGATTTTGCCAGATAGTTGGTTATAAGAAAGATCCAATTTCTCTAAATTGGTGAGGTTAGAAATCTGATCCGGGATGCTGCCAGAGAAGTTGTTGTGACTCAGGTCCAGCACATGAATAAACTTCAGTTGGCCAATCTCAATGGGGATACTGCCATTAAGGCTGTTGTTACTCAGATATATGGCTGGAGGGAGGTTGGACAGTTGATTGTACTGCAGATCAGTAGCATTATTATTGGGCTTCATAAATACTGGCAACTCTAAATAACTTCTGTCCACCTTATCACTGGCCTCTTTCGATGTCAAAACTGGCATCCCACAGAGGACATTATGAAATCCGCCTTGAAGGCGGTTATTGGACAAATCAATGTAGAAAAGGTTGGGCAGACTAGCCAACCAACCGGGTAGAGAACCAGTTATAAGATTAAATGACAGGTCCAAGACTTGAAGATTTTTAAGCTTGCCTAGCCAGGTGGGTACTTGACCTGTGAATCGGCAACCCCCCAGAGCAAAAACCCGAAGATTCTGGAATCCATCTGGGTCTCCTAGGCTTTCATCATCTGGCACAGGCTCAAACATAAAATTCTTGGACAGGACCAGAGTGGTCAGGTTCTTGCAACCCTTTAGAATCCTAAAAGCCCCAGTGGCATTTGTCAGGTTGTTGGTAGAGATGGAGAGGAAAGCCAAGGATTCTAATGCAACTTTTTCACGTGATATCTGTCCTGTGAGCTGGTTATTGGCCAATCTAATAGCTGTTAATGACTTGCAAGAGTAGAGGCTTTTGGGTAACTCACCGGTGAAGTTGTTGTTGCCAAGGTCCAGAGTGGTGAGGC